ATCCCAGGCATGGCATATCCTGCAGCACCCATGGGCTCATGTCTGGAGGCTTCTGCCCTCCTAGCTAGCAAAACCACAAAGGCAGACTGGGCTGAGTTTTACTTTGGGGGTTTGCATTTATATTTGCTTTCTCTTGTGCACGGGAAAGGTCCTGTCTAAGTGCTGCCCAGGCAGGAATTTATGGATCTCCTAGAAAGGGATTACAGCAAATTTTTTAAATATTATTTTTATGTGGAAAATGAGAGTATATAGCACTGGGGAGGAATTCATAACAGCAATGATAAAACCTCTGAGGCTTCCAGGTGTAAACCAAGCTCTAAATTACAGGCTTCAGGAAGGAATGATCTGACATACTTACCTGTCTGTTGTGTATTCCTTGTGACTAACTCTGAGTAATAGCTGTTTTGTAGACAGGCTGTAGATCAAAATGGAGCAGATCCCATAGGACACTACTGGAGGGTGCAGAGTGATAAATGACATCTCATCCCATCCAGCACTATTTCTCACTACATATCTGATGAATTTCTGTTGCAAAAGACATGTTTCCAGGGTAATCTGTATGGGACAAGCACCTTAAACTTCCAACTTAGGTTAATGTTTTGTATTGGTATGGAGGAATGAAGTGTTTGGTTGGTGCTGGTTGCTGTTGCCAGTGTCTGACTGACAGCATGTTTTCTTCTCCATATACAGTAAGCCATGGGGGACTATGGGCAGGTCTTTATCTCTCATCTCCCATTTTCCTCTTTGAGCCTGGCCCTTGTGTCAGCCCTCAAGATGTCACCTCAGACTTAAAATTCAGCCTCACAAAAAGGGCAAGGAGCCCACCTCATGTTGGCTGTGGGCTGCTGGAAAAAGCAGGGATTTGCTGCACACTTGGGACTGCCTCCAGGAGTTTTGAGGGACTCCAGCTATCTTGAAGTCACAGAGTGGGCCACGTTGGATGGGACTACAGTGGGTCATCTGGTCTCACCTCCCAGCTCAAGCAATGTCATCCTAGAGCACGTGGCCCAAGATTGCGTCCAGACAGTTCTTGAACATCTCCAGTGAGGGAGACTCCATGACCTCTCTGGACAATCTGTTCCAGTGCACAGTCACCTGAACAGTAAAGTTCTTCCTCCTCTAAGTACTTTTTCTTCTGGTAAGAACAGATCAACTGCACCTCTTACACTCTTGGCTGTAGCTATAAGACTCTGTTACTTGCAGGGAAAGCCAGAGTTTTCCTTCTGATGTGATGACAGGATCAGTTTTTCTCTCCAAGGTAGTGCTGTTCACTTCTGCTTACACTGAGGAGTAAAATGTGGTGTCATGAACACAGCTTCAAATACTTTGAATGTCTTACAACACAAGAAGATAAATTACTGACACATCCGTCACTTAGAATTAGATTGCTCTGACCATCTGTGCTTTATGCAGCTTTCTTAAGAAAAAAAATGTTTTTCAGCAATGCATAGGCTGTGCTTTTAGTTTATGTATAGTGCAAATGAGGGGAGAAGCTAGCTAGAGGCAAAATCAGAGTTTATATTGGCTGTTTATAAGGGCCACCTTTCTTTAAAATACCTTTTTTTTTTCACCCTGCACATCACAGAGGTTTTAAATCCTCATTGACTTCTGAAAACAGCTCTGAGAGGACAAAGGATGATATATTCTTAACGAGTTTGTAAAGTATAGTAGTTTTACAGACAATAAATGCAAGGTTGCATTAGGGCAAAACAGTTAATTACCCACTTCATTATTGTCAAGGTTAATACAGTGTTTGAGCGCAGAAGCTGTTTTTCATCTTCTTTTGGAAACAAGGCAAGACAGCATTTCTTACAGACAGATCCATTATAGCTTATCACTGGAGGACAGACCGCTACAGAAACACCATGAAGGATGTCTACTGTCACTGGGCTTCCAGAGCAAACGCCAAACCTGTCCAGAGAGCAGTGGAAATGAAACGAGAGCTACAGCTTCAGCGTCCTGTGCTTTAATTCACAGAGATTGTGCCCCATTGATTTTAATGTATGAGGGGAATAGGAGCATAAAATTCACCTGCACTCCTTCATCTGTTGGAACATTGATCCCTCCTAAATAGCACAATGTGCTGAGAAAGGTCCTTTAATAAACATGGGGTATTGACTAGCGCAGATCCCATCTTTCCACAGTTATCCCAGTGAAAGCTGCACCCGTGGAAGGGCTCGATCCCCGTTTTCCATGCACGCTGGAGTATTGTATAGTGTAATTGAAACCATTATGTGATCTCAGTAGACAGAAACAATGGCCTTGGAAATCTTAGCACATCGACCTTTGCAAATGCTGCTTTGCTTTAACTATCTACTTCACCTGCAGCAACTTTGAAAACTCCCTAAGTTTAAAAATTTAAAGACCCAGTAAGTGGTTAAAAATTTAGTTTTATTCTTTATAACTTCGTATTTGATTTTATTTTCTGATTTTCATGCTCTGTGACAACCCTGTTGTTGTTATTAACAATAAGTTATTATCATAATTGATAATAATAGTTATTAATATTTTTAAAAGCACTGACTATTCAGTAGAAAATGCACCTCTGGAATAGGTAAGTTTTACCCTCCCTTTTCATTGGCTGTTTTAATTTTCTCGTAGAAAGGAGCCTGAAGCCAATAGAAATTACAGCCATCAGCCTTGCAAGTCAATGTTTGCCAGTGGTCATCCTTAAAATGCTGGGAAGAAAGAATAGGGTTTTAGTTCTTAATCCCCTTAACTTCATCGGTTGAGATGAGACAGCACTGAGGTCCCAGAGCTGTCCAAGACTGCTTCATCAGACGGGGGCTTCAGTGGCAAATGCTTTCTTTTTGAAAATCAGAATTTCCTGTAAGACCATTTTACTATTAGTACTTTCGAAAAATCCTTATTATCAGAAACGTGGCTCCCAAGCATGCAGCTGTCTGCAGAAAAATCCCAAGACTTCAGGGATTTGTCATCAATTAATTCCCTAACACATAAACCCTCAACTTCATTCTTTTAAATCTTCCTTCTGAAGATATCTAAAAATCCTGCTTCCAGACAGCAGCTGCTTGGAGGAGCAGAGGGAGAACTCCTCTTCCCTGTAACTGAAGAGTCTGCTCTGCTCCCAGGGGCTCCCTCTGGTTCCAAGGTCCTTTTGTGCAGGCACAACATGTTTGCCCCAGGAAACCTCTCCTTTGTGAAGGCCAGTCCCGCAGAGAGTGTTAAATTGGCATTTTACTCCTTGGCATGCGTTTGCCCAGGGAGAGCAGGGTGGCAGTTGGGTATTTCAATCTTGTTTTCAATTATAAGCATTTCATTGTCCAATGTTGCTGGTTTATTATGTGATAATTAAATATGAATGATCGCGCAGTCATCCTGCCAACGAGGCTGCAGCCGGATGAAACCAATTCCTCTCATCTTGCTGAATGGCTTTGGAGGCGAAAGGAGTGATCTATTTGCTGTCCCTTATTTTTGCTGTCCTATTGTTTCAGTATCACTGGCTTCAAAATAGCAAACTATGCAAGTAATTAGGGACATAAATCAGAGCAGAGATCAGCGTGAGGTCAGAACTGCTTTGCTTTTAGCCTGCTTTTGCTGCCTTTTGCTGAAGAACATTTCTGTAAATTTAGTGGAAAAGTGATTTTGTCAGTGATGAAATGCTTATTTTGATAAAGTTTGAGCCCCTGTATGCTTTCAAGCAGGGTTGAGTGGCATCACCATGCTTGGACCAAAGCTTTCTCTGTTGGTGTTGCAGTGAGTGCAGGGCCAGTGGCCAGGCTGGACACCACAGTTGGCATCCAGTATGCCATGGCTGGTGTCCAGTGTGCCACAATCAGCATCTGGTATACCATGGTCAGTGTCCAGTACACCATGGTGAGTGTGCAGCATAGGCTGCAGCTCGCAGAGGGACCTTGGGTGAACACAGTGACTCTGTTTAGAAACTCAGAATGTTAAATAAGATGCAGCCATAGATATTTAGCCAAAGTAAATCAGCAAAGCAAATGTGCTTTCAGTAGAGCTGTGCTGATTTATGGTCCTGGCCCTTAATCTGTACATCTTATTCTTGTCGGGTATTTATAAACGTGAAGTGGTGCTCAATGGGAGTCAACTGCTGAAAAATGGATGCAGCTATGTGTTACAGTCTTCAGGTGGTACTAACTAAAAATAAGCAATCTTTCTGGAAGGAGGGCTGTAACCAAGATCTGCTCCTCTCTCATCCTACCAGGGGCACCAGTGTTTTGGACAGAAAGGAGTAGAGATGGGCAGGGAGATCTGTGAAGGACTTTGCAATAGTGCGACACAAGCAAGGCTACCATTTGGCATCCATGATGCCAAAGTCATGGTTGTACGCAGTGTCCCAAAGTCATGGTTGTACACAGTGGTTTGCTGGATGCTGTGTATTGTGAGAAGGAGAGGTAGTTAAGTATTTCCCCCTCCTCCCCAAGTCTCTTGTGCTAAGTTAACTAAGAGGCAGTCTCCAGTGGCAGTTATGCTTTCTACTTGGGAACATAACTGTTTTGTAGAAAAAAGGGAAACCCAGAAAACACTCAGTGCCTACAAAACTATATCCTACTTTCCATTCCTGTAGCTTGTTAAAATAACACGTAGAAGTGACCACTGAATGATTTTCTTTAGCTTATCCGTACCCTGTAAATCAGATCCAGCCCACCAGCTTGGCTTGATGTAGACAAGTGAATAATAGCAAAGAAAAAGTAAGTAGTGGTTTTAAATGTCTCTATTGCTGAACACCCACCTCTTAAATTGGGCTCTTTGAGAGGGTCTTGGGGTTGCCTGCCAAATCCCATCTTATGATCTACACTGAATTTAACCCCTTTTTATTTCTTCATTTCTGCATGCCCTGCTAGAAGTATTTATTGAGGGGATTTTTCCTAGCAATGAGATATGTGACTGAAGAACATAACACATCACTATGGGTATTTTGGGTGAATTCATAGACTTTTTGCTTATCAGTAGTTTTGTTGGTCAGATATTAAATGAAAATCTGTATTTTAATCTAAGCAATTTTATATTCCCAGACTATTGTTAGAGGAAATAAGCCACGAAAGGATACTTCAATCAATGGCCTGCTGGAAGAGTTTGACAATATCTCAGTGACACGATCCAATTCTCTGCGGAAGGAAAGTCCACCCACCCACCACCAAGGAAATGCAAACCACGTGCCGAGACACCAGGAGGAAAATGGGTATATCACGTATTCCCAGTACTCCAGTGAGTCAGAAACTACAACAGACTATGTCGTGGAAAAGTATCAAGACAAGACTCATTATGGGGAGGAGTTAGACAGGTACTACAAAGGAAGCTATGCCACCAAACAGAATGAGCACGTGATGAAGGTGACATCCCGGGACGTCTATTACTCAGAAGTGACACCCCTGCAGCCAGACTTCTCCAGGTTCCTCCCAGATTACCATGCACACTTGGACACAAAGCCCAAACCACTGGAATACGGTGGCCTAAAGCTGGAGTATCAGCGGATCCCCAGCGGATCCTCCCTGGACTATAGAGATCCCTTTCCTTACACCCCGTCCCGAGCGTCAGTGCAGAGTGAGTGTCCCAAGGAGAGGCTGGAGTACAGCGATGGCGACTGGGGACATGGCCTGGGCAAGGATGACTATGACAAAAGGCCCAAGTCATCCTATGTGGACCCGGCGAGCCCTCAGCCCACAATGAGGCAGAGGTCCAGGTCGGGCTCTGGTCTGCAGGAGCCAGCCATGCCCTACAGAGCAAGCGCGTTCAAAGCACACCAGCAGGGACATTCCTACAGCTCCTACACCTACCCCCGCTTGTCCGAAACCGCAGCAGGCATCCCCAAGGTAACTTAACGTGCCTGGTGACAGTACTGCCAGGAGGGATTAACCTCTGCAGAAAAGGAATGCAAAAAATTTGGCATGTGCAAAAAATCATGGCCAAGGAGCCATGCTGGGGCACATGATGCCGAACATGGCCAGTAGCGTCCCTGGGAGCTGCATGGCTGTTGTTTGGTGGGTGTGAAAACCCACCGGCTTTACTCTGGTATCTGAAAATGGATGTCAGGGACCAGTGGGCATAAAGTACTTATTGAAAGGCAGATTTGGAGATGCCCATCTTCTGGGGATGTTACTTGGGATTTTTGTAGCATTGGGAGTTCATGCATCTGGGCAGGAGGTGAGAAGCAGATCCAATTTATATACTGGATAATTTCATGCAAGGCTGAAACCTCTGTGTTTTAGTCTTTATATTGTGTTTATGCTTATTTAGTCTCTATACTGTGTTTATGCCATCTTTATATTATGAGGTTTATTAACCCTTTGTCTCTAATGAGAGTAGGGGTTTACCCCTCTCCGCTTTGTTTTTAAGCAGTGAAATTAAATCAAAGTAGCTTAACTCATCCAGCATATTTCAGATTTAGTTTGAAAAAAGGTTTAATGTGAAAAAAAACCATTTCAGCCATGATATTTACAAGTAGCTCCTCTGCAAAAATCTGTGGCCTGTTCTGCCAGGTGAGGAATATTACCCACGCAAGCTGTCCTACCCTGCTCGCAACAGTTTGCTGTAACTATTGGTTCAGTTAAGAGAACAACATTTTTCTCACACCTCCAGTCACATAGCCACGAATATGACCTGTTTAAACATCTAATATTCTTCAAGAGACGCTTTTTCAGTGTAGCTTGTATTGAACATTGCCTAGTTCCCTTAGCAACGGGCACTGAGGTGATGGCTCATTTTTCCAAGTCTTGGGTTGCTGTGACTTACCAAATGTGCTGAGGTAGGTAGCTGCTAGGTTAGGTGGTGAGATATACTCTGCTCTTTTATGATGATCTGAATGGTGCATTTGCTAACTGCCTCTATGCACTGCAAATGTGGTCGTGTCTAGCTGCAGACCCTGAAGTCATCCCAGTTTTCTGCAAATCCACAGTGTGTCAGAGGTATGCCTGTGTCTTGCTTCCTTGCAGCAGCCCACAGTAAAGGGAGCGCAATGCATTTTTATTCCACTTTGCATTAAAGCACATTGCTGGACTTTGGAGCTTGAAGAGGAGGAGAAAAGTTAGCAGGTCTCTTTGCATGCCTTTTCCGTGCTCAGGGTGTGTGTGTGTAGGGGGGTGGGGGTGGTAGTTAACTGAATGCCAGTGTGGCATTCAATGTGGATTCAGGAAGTTGTGAGGAAAGCCTGGGATGGGCTACCTCCCCTTTCCTTCACTGAAAACAATCGTTTTGTCAGAGTTTAGAAAGGAGAAGGACAAATCCAGTAATTGAGAGACCCTCTTGCGCCTGCTTCTGCCAATTTTACAGCATTCAATAGGGCAAAAGACAGAGGTATATTTTACAGGACTCAAAGCACTCCAGATACTTTGAAAAGTATCACATTAAAATGCAGTAATAACTTTTATTAAAAGAAAAATGCCTCCATGCAAGATTCATTGTGAGCTGTTCCTCTCCTCAGGGCATCTAAAACACTCCTACTACAGCCTTGGTGTATTGAAACTTGATGATTCACTGTTAAATGCGGCAGTTTCGATTCCCAAACCTGTCCACAGCTCCTGGAAGTGAATAGCAGTTTCTAGTCTTAGATGATTGCTGAAGAGACTTCTTTTCAAGGAGGCATTAGTAAGATAATCGTTCATCTAAAGGTGGGGAAAAGCAAGCAGTGAAAATGTCTGCAGGCACAAATGGGTGGCATCAAAGTGTGTTTAACAAAGATGTTAATTTTGACTTGTAAATGTGAAGAGCAGACTTGCTTCAGTATTATTTGCAGGTGATAGATGTCAGATAAATCAAATGTCTGCCTGTTTTGTTATCAGTGATTTCAGGGGTATAAGTTACATCAGAAGACATGCCCTGTGCTGGTCTTTGCCACTGCTGTGCAGTGGGACCGTGGAGGTGTATAGGAAGCCAGAGGCTCAGACTTGGCTCCCTCCACCCCATCCCGGTGTTACCTACCTGCTCTCCTGTCCTGCAGACTATCTCCAGTCACATTTGCATGGGGTCTCAGGATCTGCTGTCTTACCCTCACCACAACAGAGATTACGTCCCACGTTGTTCAATGGAGTTACCACAATAGTGTTGCACAGTATCTCGTTCTACTAGGTCTGCTTATTTTTGGCCACCCTGTGCTGCATGTTTTCTTTTTACCCTCCTCTTCACCACAGGCAGCCCTCTTAACTTTTGAGTCCAGGCCCTATTATTTCAAAGCTCCTTTCCCTATCATTTTCTGGTAGTAGCTCTCCATGGTCCTCTCCTGGCCCTTCTCCAAGGGGCCATGATGTCTGCTCTCCCCTTTGCTACCTCATACTGTTGTAACATAGCAGAGGTCTCTTTCTCTCATCCAGCTGCTGCTCAGCACCACTGTTTTCCTGCTGTGTATTTGCAGGCACTCAGCACCAGGAGGACATTTCCAGCCTGGCAAAGGCAGGGCCAAGCCTTTACTATCAGAAACTTTCCTTTTTTTCTCTGTCTTCCCATTCACATGACAGTGGTTTTACACGAGTGCTGCCTGTCACCTCTGTGCACTGTGTCTTGGTGCTTTCCACCGGCAAAACACCGGAGAGTAGCCTTTACCCTTATGATCCCCATGTCTGTTTTACAGACCATCCCTTCCACACTTTTTACTTTAGCAAACTGAAACCTAACCAAATGGAAAAGTGATTTATGTTACTGAGGGGTGAGTCCATCTCGCCAGGGACTAGGGGGATGTGAGCTGTGGCTGCCATCTCTGCCGCAGTCCCACTGCAGAGCACGCGGGGACACCCGCTCGGCTCCCTGCAGGGAAGGAACCCCTTAGGAACAAGCAGGTGTTTCCTGTGCAGTACAGAACAGGCATTACTGTCATCACAGTGGGAACTGAAATAAGTTTAAACACAGTGTTACATCCATCTTTTAATGACCAAAAGACCCGACTGCCGACATGGGCGCAGGCGGATGCAGGAGGTGCTGCGAGCCGGGGAAGAGACCCAGCTGGCAGCAGCACTGCGGCACCGTGATGGATGTCATGTCAGAGCTTCAGCTGCTCCTTTGACCTGATCTTGAATGAGTTCAAGACTGGTTTCTTCTTTCCTTTGTAGCATTTAAAGAATTTCCTTTCAGTAGGTAACTGCATTCGGTAGCTGAAGTAGAATTATTAGTGGAATAAAGTGTGTTTGGTTTTGCCGTGATGTGGAGCACTGCGTCAGGACACAGCCTCAGAGGAGAGGTTCAGCTGATTTACTCATTATAGCTCCTGACTTTTGGGGACATTTCTTGGGATTCAGGGAGTGAATGGGTTTAAATTGTACTGCAATGGTAACCTCAAAAAGCTTGCATAAACTCTTAGCAAGCACACCAAACCCCTGAATTTTCCTGTTAAAAGAATGAAACAGAAACACCGCAGAATTCACTTTTGCCAATGTGTTAAGCTTAGGGTATACTCAGAAATATCAGACATGGGTGAAGCCTCAAATAATTCATTAATGTGGATTCATCCAGCTTGATTTTCTAGACAAGATTTTCCCCATCTCAATAGTTAGAAAGAAAATGGTGTGTTTACAGCCAGAGCAAGAATTTATGTGCCCCTCTGTACACAGATATATAGGACAGGGCTAGAATGAGTTCCCCTCCCTCCACCAAACCATCTGAGCACTTTTCCACGTTAACTAGTTTGGCAGATGTAACATCCTTCACAAAATTAATATCTCGGACTCTTCTATTTTATGGCCACCCCTGCCTGATGGAGTAAGGGAAATTATGGCTGTAATCATGTGGATTTTTGCTTAAACAGAACAGCATCCTGGGAGGTGGCAGTACAACACTGTTACGTACTCGCTGGATGCTCCATATGGCTGGTAGCTGTCAGTGTGCAAGTCTCAGATGGAAGCAGACTCCAGCTTCATGTTTCCCAGGGAAGTCTGAGCAGCCCCTCTGGAGAGGCATTCCCTCTTCCCTGCTAAACCTCTCCTGAATCGAGAAGACGGGCACGCCCGGTGAACACAGGAGGTAGGAAAGCGCTGATATAACACTACACTGGAGGCTTTTCTCCTCACACTGAGGCAACTCCAGCTCCAAACTCCTCCTCGCTGTGCACAGCCATGGTGATAAATTGATGCTGCGGCAGATTTTTTTCTTTCTTTCTTTTTTTTTTTTGCAGTCTTAGCATAAAACGGTCAAATGATGTTCCACCGCAGAATTCAATTTCACAGTTCAGTTGGGTCCTTGATTACACTGCCAAATTCAGATTAATGTGCATTTAACTAACATGGATCAGGGACTCCTGGCCAGCAGCCAGCAGTAATAGTAGCAACCGTGAGCTGTGTAGAGTTTGCTGCTCTGTCCACCCCTGTGCACTGCCACTGAAATTGATTGATTAAATGAACTCATTGCCATAATTATTTGTAATTGTGCTACATGATGAGCCTGTGTCAAACCATCCCCCTGCCCCAAGATGCTCCACATGTCATCAGGAGCCACATATGTTGTATTGTAAATATGGTGATGCTCTTTTCCAGAGGAAAAAAAAATGTGCTTTTTTTTGAGTGGCTTTTTTAATCTTACATCCTTTGGATTTTTTTAGCCTAGCTAGAAGCAGACTATTATGTTTGCAAATATGAGGTATTCATTTGCCTTCAGTGTAAGAAGCTTACAGAAGCTTGGAAAATAATTTTTTTTAAAAAAGAAGGAACCTACAAATGAGCAAGGCCTCCCATTGGGATAATTTCGTTTGCGTTTTCCCCTGATTTCAGATGAAATCAGCAGTTTTGCAACACTGAAGTTAAGTAGTGTGTCACTCTGGAAAATGGCTTAAGAAATGGTGAATTGAATTAGACTCCTCATCATATTCATGTATGCAGTCACTCAGACAGCAGCCTGTAGTGTG